ATATTATATATATAATGCACATATATATATATATATGTTTATATATACATATATACATGTGTACTTTCATTGTTTTCATTGTACGTTTTGTATATATGTACGTGCATATATTATATATATACGCATATATGTATATATGCATGTATATATACATTACATATATATATATGTGTAATACATTATATATATATATATATATATATATATATATATTCATATACTTCTCGATGTGAATCACTCTCTGAAGGATGTACCATGAATTCAACTTCATCAACGTGAATGAAGTGATTTAATGCTTATTTGGCCGTTACAATTACTCGCAGTAGTTTATGATATATAAAATTAGTGCTACTGTCCGCCCAGACAAGTATGGTACCTATTCGACGATCGCAAAAGTTTGGAAGACTTGCTGATCCTTAGGCGCGAGATCGAACCATTTACCACGTTTGTACCGCAGGGCACTTCTGACCACTGTGCCAAGTCCATCATAAGTGCACAAGTAAATATATTTATATATATACATGAGATTCATGAGTATATTACGTATATAAATGCACATATATATACATTTATATACACATATATATATATATATATGTCCATATATACATTTATACATGTGTACTTTTATTCTTTTCAGTGTACGTTTAGGCATGTGAATGTGTGTGGGCGTGCCTGTGTGTGTCACATAAATCTTTTTGGAATCCTTAGATACTCATTATATAGCACTCGCAAGACGGAAGGATCTTCACATCGAATATTGGGTGGTTCACACTTGTAATCTCACATCCAAGCGCATCTTTAATCACTGGGAAGGAATATTTTTTCCGGCATCTGGGACTATCAAAATTTTCAGAATTGCACAGTTTTTCATTCTTAATAAAATTAGGAAAGATGGTACGTTACCAAGTAGCTTTATTTTCAAATAATATTGTTTGAAAGTCACTTTAAGATGATCGGGGAATTGATCCTGGTGGTCCTCCACGATGTACACATTGCGCTCATTTCTCACCAGCCAGCCACTTTCTTTACTTGTTATACTGTTTCTTTATGGATTTTTTGGAGTACAATTTATGGCTCTCAATTTTTCTAGCACAAAGGAAAGAATTCTGTTGTATTGAGGCAAAAACGTTATTTGAAAGACAACTAATCTTATCCATAGAATGGATAGAAGTAGGTATTATATAAGCAAAGTAATGCAGTAATATACAATAAATGATGAGACGCTTGGTGTAGGTTAGTCTGTGGGCGACGCACCATGAATTAAACTTCATTCGGAGCACACAGAGGTGACCATAGCGGTCTCCAACTAAAATCCCAAACTTGATCCAGAAAATAAAAATTTATCTTCAAAAACAAAGTTTTGCTTCATCTATTTTGTGCAGAATTTTTTTGCGCATCGTTTGGTATATTTTTTACGTGGTTGTCCAACAACGAAGTCGTCACGGGAAGTCATTCGCAGTTTACTGCTTTACGAGTTTCGACCGGGGCGCAATTTTCAAACTGCATTCGAGAACACAAATCGTGCAAAAGGCCACCAAGTCGCGGGTAGAACGACGGCGTATAAATGCTTTACAATGTTTCGCAATAGAGATACTAATTTGGCCGATCAGTCAAGACCCGGAAGATTGCGTGAATTTGATTGAGAAGCAATCACTGAAGGCAACAGCTCTGCGTTCGATGGAAGACACCTCTGACCACGGCGCTTGACGTACACAATGAGCACGACATGGATGGAATACCAGAAGAATTTGTGACAACATGCTCAAGAGGACGCCCACTCAATTATAGAACAAAAGTCGTTTGTTGTTCTCCTTTTTTTCTTTGAATAAACTTGTTGGTAGGAGCGGAAAACGTTGCGTTGATGGATGTCAACTCACCCTGATGCGATCTATTTGATGACTGTCGTGGATTCAAAGTGATCCATATGTTCGTTTTTGAGGCGAAACATTTCACTGAGCATCAGTGGCTCTCTGATGACGCATGACTCCAGCTTGATTTGATGGATGATCAAAAAACGTTTTATGTTCGTGAATGCTTTGTAGTATCATCTAACAACCACGGAATTGACAACCACTGCAGTGGTTCATCATTTTTACTTCTTAACGATGAAAATGTTTCCAAACGAGCTGATGTGATATCGTAGTGCTATCCTCCTGTGTCCCAGCACCGTACAAGAGTCAACTCTCTGCTAAGCAGCCAGATTCAAGTGGAGTAGCATATATCTAAAAGTCAGTATGGTTTTTTTAGCGTTACTGACTCATTCATCTCGTCATTTGTAATCAGCTGTCCATTCGTAAACATGACACATCTTTATTCTCGGTGTTTTTGTAGTTTCAGTGACACTATAACTTTTTCAAAACACTTTTTTCGTAAAAATCACGCTGAAACTTGCGTATAAATCAGTCGCGAATAATTCCGGTCTATTGACGTTATAACTCTCTGTGACGTCATTCATGGACAAGAAGTATCGCATTTTATTGAGGGGAGTGAAATACTGAATGAAACGACCGGCGCTGCTCTGTCAATTCATGTTACGCCATATGTGGCTCCCAACAATTCATACTCTTAGAAAAAGTAAGAATCTCTACAGAGATCGTTCATCTCTATTACCTCTCATATAACTCTCACTTTTATTCCATTATTAGTTATAGTTTGTTATCTTACACTAAAGTCTGTTGTAGTTCTGAGATCTTGCGAAGAGAACTGAAAACGCTTTTTTGTCAACGGTACCATTCACTAACAATCATTGATGACTTGCTTTAACTATTACTGCTGATATTTTTCATTTATTGTCCATGAAGTCTTCTCATCTATTGTGCGAATTCCATCACAGTCACTCAATTTCCTCTCCTCGTTTTCACCACCCCACTGGATTACGAATATTTTGCGTGCTGTTTCAGCCGCTGGTTGAAGTCGAAATTCCATAGAATTCTGATCGAGTTGATTTGAGTCTCTTGACAATAGATTAGCCGAGGTGAGGCGTCCTCATGCAACTACCGAACGTTGGCATGGAGTCGTACCAGCGCATTGCTCTTGATAGCTTGCATCACTAACCCCTCAACTATTGCCCTTTATATTCCTTCTCTTCTTCTTCTTCCTATTATTAACATTATTGTTATTAATATTATTATTAGTAGTAGTAGTGCAGTGCTACTACTATTATTGTTATTATTAATTTTACTATTATTATTGTTATTATAATTATCATTTACTATTTAAGCCATTGGGGCGCATGTGACGCAGTGGTTAGAGGTGCTCTGCGTCGCACACGAGGTCAATGGTTCGATCTCGCGCTCATGGCTCACCAAGCCATCCATCCCTCCGGGGTCGGTAATTTGGTACTAGAAAGGTCTCAGACCTGTCTGGGAGAATAAGCCGCACTGACTCGGTTCAGCGGGAGGCCACCGCGAGTCATTGTAAAGGTCAGATAGGCATTCAATCACCTCAAACAAAGTTGAAAATTGAAGTCGAATGCATGGCGCATCCCTCAGGGATTGATCAACGCTGAGTGCTTTATCCTTTTTATCCATTGTTGCAACTATTACTCCTGTCTTTACTATCACTAACATCTTTCACCTTTCCAGCTTCATATAAATAAATGTAATCGCTCTCTATAAGGGAGAATAATGCTCATCTGTAGCACCTGTTTCCGGCGTTCAAAACAAAGAATTACTCTTGTAAATTCAGCTTATTGATCACTATCTCACTAATCGGAAGTTCGCTTCTTTTCTTCAATCCTATCTAACTCCTCTAGCATTATACTTTGTAGTCTCAACAAATCTCTCATCTGGTTCGTTACCTGTGATTTACCCATCACAGGTGCACCGTTTTGCACATGGGCTCCATTGTAGCTTAATGACTAAGTATTATTCATCAACGTCGTTGAATGCTTGCCATGTCTGTCCCTCTAGATCATGGACTATCCCTTTTACAACGTTTCCATGCCGATTCAGGACTCCAAATTGCTAACGCTGGTAGAATACAGGGCTTTTATGTGGGTATAGTCGAGCTAGCAATTACGAGTGTATGGCGGAACTTCTCTAACCACTGCACTCTAATTGGTTTTTGTTGAGATTTATACAGCACATTTGAAATAAGCACAACAAGTGGTTTATGAACAAATCTTGCACCATTATGGCAGCTGAATCTTCGTGGAATGAAATCGAGTCACTTGACGATGTTCTTCGACCTTATCCAAGAGTACTGACAATATTGAGGGTATTTTTCTGCAGTCTTCTATGAGTTCTTGCAAAGGAGTCATATTCAAAAAAAGATTCAACGAAGAGACAAAAAGTCACTACCTCCTCAAGAAATACTAATTTCGAAAATGAAAATCCTCTATCCTAATGGGCTTACAAAGGCTAGCATCGTTTGTTTCTGGGCATACTTGGCACGACCATCTCAATAATCCGGTAAGAACGGCGTTCGAGCTACCTCCTGGGCATTTACGAGAAGAGCAGAAGTGATTCCTAGAAGCGTACCCGAATTCTTCCTTGAGTAGTGGCGCAATAGGTGAGGAAGGAATGCTAGACAACAAAATGAATCGCAGCTCACGCTGTGGGTGAGGGTAGGCCATCTAGATGTCCAAATCTAACAAACAACTAACCAACCCTTGTTTTTCATTCACTTTGTCGCCTAGATTCGGTTCACATTCTAGTTTTGGCAAAATTCCAATAAATACTCAAATTCTGAAAAATAGTATGTACTCGAATTAAATGCTCTCGCGCTTCTATTTTAGTTCTCTTCATTATCATTATTATGAAAATAATTACAGCTTTTTCAGCTAGCGTAGTCATTTATAAAAGCTCATGTGACATAACATGCTTGATTAGTGACTCACTAAAGTGCACCATTCAAGCAGTCAGCTATATAAAAGTTTATTTTTATGATGGCCGAATTCGATTAGTTTATGGCTCTCCTCGTAGCTTTCTCTTACCTTTCCTGCCGACTTCTTTACTTTAATATGCCCAATAATGCGGGGTGACGTGCAAAACTTTTGCGTGAGCTGGGACTCGAACCCACACTTCACCCTATTCAGAGGCGCGTGCTCGAAGCGTTACACTACCGACGCCCGTTTTGACACCACTCTTTTTACTCTACAACGCATCTATTTGTTAGCAACCAGCCTTCAGCGGTCTGGCGTGGTTGATCGTTATCAACACCACTGGTGCTGACAGATATTAAGTATTGATGATCAAACAGAATTCTTTCGAGCACACCTCCGGATAAAGTGAAATGTGGTTTGAGTCTCATCTGACGCAAAAGTTTTGCACATCATACCACCCCTAATGGCGGCAAAATAAAGGAGTCTGTTTTTATCTTATAATATAGTATTGTATTTTTTGCCTAAGATTTGAAACGACACCTAATGAATATTGAATCGACTCAAAAAGACCATAACAAATCATTCAGCTACATTTCAAAGTATGGTCCTCGAAAAAACTTTATTTTTCACAACGTGTCACAACATATCGGTGATCGCTCCAATCTAGGTGTTTCAGCAATAGGTTTTCTATATGATGAATAGACTACGGATTTGATTTTGCATCAAATTCTGCTACGTTGAAATATTAACCGAATGACCAGGTATGTATGATATAGTAAGTCCAGGCTAAGACGTAGGCGAAATCGCCTAAACGTTACCTATTGAATATGAAGGCGCGCTGACGTGAAGTTGTTCTACAGTTATTAAACTTCGCACTCACTCCAACCAATCGGCAAAATTTTCACGCTTTCCGTATCAGTTGACCATTGAAAGTGCCTTCTTTTCTAATTTTTTTCGAATTGGTCTCTACGGTAGTGAAAACGATATTACCGTAAATATATCAAAAAATCATGAAACGTAAATTTCACCTATTCTCTTTAATATGGTGAAATAATATTTCTAACATTAGGTAGTTGCCTTTCAATGGGCAACAATTCAGCAAGAACTGGCTTTTTTTGTTATCTTAATAGCTTTTCTATGGACATTTACTGTTATGAGTGGATTTTACGTGCACGGTGACTAGCTCGGCTTCACAGACGATATAAAAATGCTCACGTTTAGTCATGAATATAGTATAACACCATTGATCTCGAGTGTTTACTCAAAACCGCGCTCAAATTTCAATATGTCTGGTAGTTATTGTTGAGCCATGCATTTGGCTCTGTCAAGGACAGTTATACAGTGCAATACACGTGTTTCGACCTTTCGGATACTTCACGATTACCATTCAAAGGCAATCAAGTGTACAGCACTGACCGTTTGATGATTTATCACTTCATGGCGCGTGTAAATATTACATCTGTCAAATGACCGTTCGAACATCATTTCCGAATGTTCATTTTGCTACTCATTCATCGCTGCCCTCGAATTGTCTGTTGTTTTCGTGCAAGTGCCCTTTTAGTCACAATATATTTGTGGTCAGCCTACTTGTTTCATCGGGAAGACTCAAGAGGACCGTTCCAGGATATCCGCAGGATGTTTGTCATGTGCATTGGACGAGATTTGTAGCCTTGTGATTCACGTTGTAGAAAACAACTCTTGTGACTAATATGTTTTTAGTTGAGCTTGTGGATAAAGAGCAGAGTCCTCCAGTATTACAACCTTATGTGAGAATGGTCTTTCAACTATAGGTTACAGCTGAACTCCTGGAACGTTCATTTGTCACTGTGAGTTGGCAATACACAAACGTGGTAGGGGACTGAAATCTAAATTTGCCTTATACTGGCAAATTAGTTGCACTGATTTGAGAAAAGAGTCGAAATCGGAAGAGATTTGTTAGCACACCTGCTCCTTTGCGGTTGATGGCAATAACTCGTTTAACTGTCTCCCTCCTTGTCTGATTTTAGACTAATGACAATATGATGCGCTCTTAATATCAGCGCTCATAAATTACTTTTCGAAAATGTGACGTCGATTCAAACGTCTATTCATGATAAAAATGACGAAATATAAGAAGCGAGATGCATACTTTCGAGTATTTTTGAGCACAAAGGTTCTGAGTCCGTTGTTGAAATTATTTACAAGCTCATTATCAAATATGACTTACTAAGCTTTTGGCATACGTGTGTTTCAAACGATAAGACTAGAGCTGGAAGGACAACGTGTAACCTGCAAGATAAATCTCGCAAAGTGGAATGCATTCGTCTCTTTCGTATCAACGTAGAGGTGATTGGAGTGCATATATCGTTTGAACAAGACCCGCGTTCCATAGAAAGATCGAGTCAGTGCTTTTATCTACCTAGACACTTTTGTCAACAATTTGCAAAGTCCACAGGGACAGAGGGCTTGGTTAGCACGAGCTCAAAATGGCACCATAGCCACGTAACAGCAAAATGACACCTTACACTGTACTGAATGCGTTGCATCAAGGAGTATATGAAAGTTTAACGCCTTGTTCTTTTTCACTAAATAAATTACACCCAGATCGACCTTCTATTAAGCACGACATCCTTAAACATTTCCTCGTTTTTCCTATTTTGCCAAATGCGAAGTTTTTAGAATATTGAAGCAAGACAAAACATCCAAGACTTCAGCTGTTCAAACTCGTGATTAGTAGCTCAATAAGAGAACAAGGAATGAATTACGCCTCAGCAGGGAGTACTTTTCTGCTCTTCAACGGAACACTTTTTTGCATAACATGGGACCATATAATACATAGTGCGGATCCCAAAACTTTTTCCATTTCCTTCGTTTCCTCGAATGCACATCCATCATGGCCGTAGAATATGAGTAGGGGCTTGACTGGCGCTTGAATATTTTAGGATTTTTACAAATCACATCGAACATTAGTTTACTAAGCTTTTCTCCAGCTTCAAAATAGCTGTACTGGAGGGTTTCCAAATCTTTGCCATAGGCAGCTACGATCCTTTGCGAATCGCGGGAAGATTATTTCACAAATTCGGTTCTAACTTTCCTATTACGGAGAATAGAAAAGCTTAGTTGATTCAGGGTGGAACTGGAATATGACCTTGCTCATACCATTCAGGCTAACATCTCTACCGCCACAATACTGCACCTTGAAAGCGTTAGTGTGTACTTATCCCTGTATCACCTATTGTCCCGTTGATCGTCGAGTGACTCGAGCGGAAATCACCAACACTTCCACTTTTCCCTATCGCGTGCAAGAGTAACCCAGTGGGTTCTCCTCGTTATAGGGACGCATTGGGCATTATATCTTTCCTCTAGGCCTTTCGTGAAGAAATCGGATCATCGGGTCGATGGTCTTCCTGTAGAACGCCTAGTATCCCGGGGAATCCACTAAGTAACGGCTCTCGTCGAGCGGTTGTCGCTGAAGCGCATTACATGTCCAGCCCCACCTTAATTTCGATTGCCTAGCGTGTCGAACAGTGTCTTTGATTTTCGATCGCTGACGAGGTTGGAACTTTGGATCTTTTCTCCCATTTGCGAGATACGGGATACTGGCATCCTTTTCGACTGCGCGTTCACTAACGTCAAGTGATCTTTCATCCTTCTTACGTAGCGACCAGCTTTTTGCTGCATACATTACGGTATGGATAATAGTCGAGTCGAAAAGGTGTTCACGGAGCCTAGCAAGCTACACATTAGTTATTAAAAGCGCTTAAAATAGTGTACACGTAAAAGGGAAAATTTTCTACATAACCAAAAGCTGAAAACTCGGCTACCGCAAGCGAAACGATAATAAGGTTTGATCTGCTCCATAATCTATTTGATGAAAAAAATAATACTTATATAACTAAGAGAATTGAGTGGTGAACAAAAACACGGCCTCAGGCGGGAATCGAACCCACGTTTCATCCTATCCGGGGACGCGTGCTCTACCACTACACCACTGAGGCACATTTGCCCGACCACTCATTCTTCAACATCTCAATGTTAGCTATCAGCCACCAACCTTTGACAGGTTTGGTCGGGTATGCGATTTCGCTTTATAAACCCAGTTGAGCTGATAGCTATTCTAATTACTAATACTTCGAAATTATGGTATTTTCGCTGCTTTTTTCGCAGTGTTATTATATTACCTATATAACTAAGAGAATTGAGTGGTGAACAAAAGCAAAAACAGTGAGTGGTCGGGCAAATGTGCCTCAGTGGTGTAGTGGTAGAGCACGCGTCCCCGGATAGGATGAAACGTGGGTTCATTCCCGCCTGAGGCCGTGTTTTTGTTCACCACTCAATTTTCTTAGTTATATAAGTAATATAATAACACTGCGAAAAAAGCAGCGAAAATACCATAATTTTGAAAAAAATAATGTTGATCATAATCCATTTGAGGCTAAGGAATTTGTATCAGAATTATTTCTTGATTATGGAGAATGTATGTTAAGCATCCATTTAGTATACAGTAGTAAAGGCTTTTTTGTATTTGACTTATTTCAGCTCTAAAATAAGATATCGATCTGTGTAGGTGAATTGGTACTAAACTTGCTTAGAGAATAACATCGATGAGATACATCGATGGCTATAAGGATAATTTTATAGGCCTAATAGGAAATTACAAAATCTGCATAATGTAATGAATTGAGTTTAACGCATAAATTCCCCACAGGGCTTAGTTAGGGTTAAATGACTTACCTCCCTTTGTTCCTCTTATCATATGCCTATGTTCTACGTGAGACAACCACAGGCCGTTATGTGAGCTAGCTGATGGGAGAAGTAAGCTTTATGATCATCGAGTTCCATCAATATATAATCGTTGCAAAATGTAGAATGTAAACAAATACTCGTCCAATATCCGGATTAATCTCTTATTATTCACTTTGTTTCCAGCAGAAGTCATCAGAAAGCTTTAAATTTCTTTTGCTCATCATTTAATCGCTAATCTCTGTTATTCGCAGAAACTAAATAAAACTAAAAAGGCCAAAAACGAATCATTTCTAAAGATCAAAGCAGCATATGTTAAATTACCAACCGCCTTTTTTTCCAACCTTCTGCTATCTGTTTGAATTTATCACCAGAAGTACGATCGCTTATTTTATCAAGAACATCAGGAAATCTGTGATCTTCTATGGGCAAAAATTGTATAGATTCTATCGATAACCATCAGCGAGTTCTCAGAGTAATTCAAAATAAAATGAAAAGATAAATCGTATACACACAAGGTTTAA